TATTAAGAGAAAAATTATTACATTTTGAAATTACCATTTTCCATTTTAATAGATTTTGAAATGTAGTTTATTCCTGTGATGGCAAAGCTGAATTTCCAGCAGATATTACTCCAGTCTTCAAGTGTCACAGGTGACATGATCCTTCAGAAAACATTCATATATGCTAATCTGCTGATCAAGAAGCATTTCTTATTATTAATATCAATGTTAAAAACAGTTGTGCTTCTTAATGCTTTTGTGGAAAGCATGGTACATATTTTTCCGGATTCTCTAATGAATAGAAAGTAAAAAAATAAATTGTATTTGAAATGCTGTCTATGCCTTTGCTGGTTTTATTCATTTAATGCATCCTTGCTAAATAAAAATATTAATTTACTGACATCAAACTTTTGAACAGTATGGTATATTTATGTTTTATGGAAAAAAAAGCAACTTGGAAATTCTGTGCAACACTCAACCTTCAATGTTCCAGGGAAGAAAGAAAGTCATACAGTCTTGCAACAGCATGAGGGTGAATAAATAATAATGTAATTTTCATTTATAGTAACTATTCCTTTAAAGATTAAACATACTGCAAACAATATTAATAATCACCACACATGACCCCTAAATATAAAGACAAAAAACAATAATCGGAAAGACCCAGGCCTGACTCAAGGCGTCTTTCCATCTCCAGCATTCCAAAGCTAAACATTTGCTTCCTTCTGCTGTAGAAACAGGTTGTCCTGGTCCTCACATCAGGCATTTATCACCATGTCAGTGTGGGTTACGAGGCCAGGAGCCAAGACTCCTCTGGCCCCAGATTACTCTTCCGTATGGGATTGAGCCAGAGCGTTGGGCCTGCACCACAGCGCTCCACAAAGACAAATCAGAACAGGGGAAAAGGCAACAACAAAGAGCTCTCACTATGGTCTGGCATTACAAACGTCTCCACAGACAGTCTGTACCCTAAACTGGAGCAGTAACAGATATTTATTCACAAACTGAAAGGTCTTTTACTCCATGCTTTTGAAAAGAGCTCAACACAGCGCGCATGTGCCTTAGCGACACAATACACTCATCTGACAGCCATGAGATGAGCAGAGGAGTCCGTAAATAAATGCAAAACAAGCATGACCAGACATTTAATCTAGTTTTAATGTGCGTTCACATACACTCACAGATCGGCGTTATATTGGACTGGCTGCTCAAACCACAAAAAGCAACAAATTATTAGGCTTTCGTAAGGTAATGACACAACAGCACCATATTAAAATTTCCAGCTTTTGTAACGCAATGAAAACAACTCTACAAGTGAAACAAAGAGAGATAAACAGCAAAAGAAACACATTTCTGCATAAACCAGCCATCTGAAGTGTAAAAACTACATAACTGCATTCATAAATATCACACAAGACATATGGACAGTAAAGGAAATGTGCGATGCTGCCCCACATTTCCATTCTGAGCGCACACATCTATAATAAGCAAGAGCAGAGAAAGAGAAACCACCAGAACAATGTCATTTCTACTTCATTAACTACTTCCAAATGACAAATCTCTCTTTACACCTTATGAGCATCACTGTTCGACTAAACAATTAAGCTAAAGTCCTACAGATTGTTTCTTAAATAAGCTCACTTGGTTTTGTTTGGGATTACAGTGAACGTCCCCATAGGAGATGCGGTTTATACAACAGCCAGAGCAAACCTCGAAAGTTACACGAAGGCTAAACCAAGTCTCAAGGGTCTTCAGATGCCCCTTAAGGTTACCTTAAGGGTCTTCAAATGTTACAGTTCCACAAGATGAATCTATCTAGCATCCATCCATCTGCAGCATCCATCTACCTATAAGATCATCTATCATCTAATCAACTAAGAAAGTTGTGGAACTGTGAGTAAAGGTTTGCATGTTTTCCACTTGCCTTCCTAAGGCAAACAATAAAAGTAATGCTTATGCATTTTGTGCAAATAATCTTAAAAAGACAAAAAAAGGTGGGGGTTGCTATCACCAGCAGAGGGAGCATGGGTAATCAATCAGAAATACTGAAAAAATTTTAAAAAGACAAATGCAAACCTTCAGCTGTCTGAGGCTGGCATGGTACCTCTGACATTTGAGTCACTATCGCACTCATGCATTGCTTCATATTTGTCCAAATTATGAACTACAACCAACCAGAATATGACTCAACCTCAATCTGAAATCAAAGTCAACCACAACTAAGGCTGTGTCTGAAAACCTAGTGAGCTACCTACATTTTAAAGCACTGAAGGCACTTACAGTGCTCCAAAAAGCTGCATATGCACCTATGCCGCCCAAAAATTGACAGCATGTGGTTTTGAGGCACAGCCATGAAGAGATAGTTCATCCAAAAATGTAAAATCTGTCATCATTTACACACCCTCGCGTCATTCCAAACCTGTGCGGCTGGAAAGATGTCAATCTCAATCACCGTTCACTTTCATTTTGCATACAGCAAAAGTGATTAAGGCTGTCAGTCACTAACATTCTGTCCAAAATCTCCACCGAAAAAAAAGAAAGTCAACGAGGTTTAGGTGAGTAAATGATGACAGAATTAATTTTGGGGTGAACTAACCCTGTAAGTGACCTCGGCATGCTCTCTGGAGAACAAAACCAGCTTTTTCGGCTGTTGATGAATCGATTTTACCCCTCACAGGGAACAAAAAAAAATGCTAAGACAGTAAAAACTGTGCTATGGAGTCACTATATTCTCCATAAAGCATTCCTGCACAAGGATTAGTCACCTTAACACTGCAGTGTATTAGTTAGTCTAAATCACGCCAAATCATTACAACATATATTGTGCAGCATCAATAGAATAACAAGTCACATAATAGGGAAACGAGAAATTAGTAAACGCAATTCCACTCAAGCCTTATCTGCACACTGCCTGTTTGCTTCACATCCACTTTCTGTTTTGTATAGGCTATTCCCTACCTAAATAGATCCATAATCTAATATATATATATATATATATATATATATATATATATGTTATAAGCATGCAGAATACACATCAATCTATTATAAAACTGTGGTATTTTGTACTAATAGCCTATAAGAATAACCATTAAGTGAATAGACAGCATTGCACAATGAAACAGAGGGAGGCTTGCGCTTTCAAATACATTTTAGTCAAAATCCACAATAAACCTGGACGAATTCAACAACTACCTGATAGCACATCAAGCTAAGATTTCATAAATAATACACATTTAACAAATGCATCCTTTCTGACACAAGTAACAGATTGGTAATGCACCTCAGGACCCGACGGTCTCTCTGCGGAGAGAGTGAATAATGTTAGTCAATTATGTGCAGGTCTGACATTAATTTCACCCTCGTAAGGGCTGTAGACCTTACCTTCGTATACAGGGGCCATCGGTGCAAGGATGTCTGTTATTCATGGCAAAAAATGAAGCGACAGCACTGTTCACAACTCAATAAAAATCTGCCATCTTGAGCCGCGGACAGAATCGCTGCTGTCTCCTGCATTACTAACCCAGTTCATCAGAGAGAGAAAAAGGATAAAAGAATGAAAAATCACATCCAGAATTTCAATTTGATAATCGGCCCGGGGTGCGTGATGAAAAAAGGATGTCTGCAACTTAACTCCACGGGTATCGATGGTGTTTTGGCTCTAAAAAAAGAGCCAAATTGCAGGTCTTGGCTTCAGCTGGTGATCATGTCTGTGTGGAGTGAGTGCCTGCAAAAGTTGCAATGAGAGAAACGAGCGAGCGAACGGAGCGACTTTACGTTGTAATCAAACGACGAGGTAACCGATCGTGTTGAACTGGGCCTCTAAATCAAACGACGATCTACTCGATCGGGCTCACTGCTGTTCTGCAAACAGCTAACGTCAGTTCTGTCAAAATACTATTGATATTACATTTATTACTTCCTTACTGCCATGTCACCATGGTGTAGTGAGGGTGTTATATGTTAATGAAATATTACCATGGCATATGCATCCAAGGAATTTTAAAGATTACCATTATAGTAGGCTACATGTAAAAAAAACTTGATATCATGCATGCCCACATCATTTAAGTTTTAGTGGTTCCACTGTAAACAATAATAAATTAATTATAAAGAATATTTAAGAAAATTGAACAATATTTCTCTTTTTAAAGTTTTATTATAGTAACAATAACGTTTTTAATTATAATTATTTTAAAGGGTAGGATCTGATTATTGCACTAAACATTGTGATAATATCCATCATATTCAAGTCCATCAGAACGGGATTACAGAGATTAAACCAGAATCTCTTATACATCAACTGGATATCCATTTGAATACATTGGACATTTCATTAAAAATTGCAATAGATGAGTGATAGATTCATCAGAAAAACCAAATCTGTTTTTTTCCATAGTTGATGAGACTATAAAATTGTTAATTTTGCTTGGGAAATTTCATCAGCATAAAGCAACATTTATCAAACCGTGTTTTTGAACATTTTTTTCCATAGATTTTAAAATTATGACTGACGTAACCGTGTAGGAAGTGGAACATTAGCTACTTATATTGAAAAGAGTGCTCTGTTTAACATAGCATTAGATGAAGTTGGATGCATCATAGCATATACACATACAGTACATATTAGGCTATAGCATATCATTGTATATTTATTACAGTGAACGCAATAAAAAATTCAAAAAGTAGATTACATACAGCTGTTATCCAGTGCCAAACACATATTAAAACAGTAATCTTCAAGAGGTCATGCACCTTTTCTTCACAAAACAATGCTTTATAATACAAGACAACAATATACTGTAGCTATAGCAAACAAACAAACTGACACAAAATATGAAATAGTAGGATATTACTTTATTATTATTATTATTATTATTATTATTATTAGGTCTACCATATTCAAATAAAGAACTGTAGGCTACAATTCTTGTGTGTGGTCCCCCAGCTAGCGATCAGTGCAAACTACAAGTACCACAAGTCATTGCGTGGGAATTTGTTTTCCCCAGCCGCATAAAAACTACATTTTCCAGAACGCCTTAGTGTCATCGCAAGCGGTTGCTGTCAAACACAGGGTAAGCGCATTGTTTATATCATTTACTACTGGTATAATCTAAACTTTTCATAACATTGTAACATCCCAGAATTACTCAAGCAACAGCAAACATTATTAGCAGAGTGCATGATGATCGCTGCTCGTTCTTTTAATTACGTAAACCGTTGTAGGATTCTATTACAAAACAATAGGGCAAAGGTGACATGACATAGAGAGCATCGAGAGTATTGAATTTATTCTTCGTCTGTGTAGGCTATTGGTAAAACAGTAACACAATGTTGACAGTAGCCTAAATTATAAACAATCTTAACTTGAATTTCGGAGAAGTTTCACAATCACATACAGTAGCATGCACAGATGTAACAGAAATTAATGCACTGCCAAATCGAATATTTGTAGAATGACTTGTAAGAAGTCATCTTTGAAAAAAAATTATTTGTAGGCCTATAAAAAAATATTGTGTGTCTGTTCATTTGTTTACGTTTTTATTGATTGATTTGTTTGTTTGATTATGTGACGAACTTTTCACTCAAATAATGTTAGGCTAATATATTCTTTGAGGTGATTATTATTTTTTATAGTTCTGATTTGTGTGATCAAGTAAGCATGTGATATTTGTCTAAACTCATATTCTGATTTATATATTCAAGTATAAGAATCACTGCGAATCATAGTAGCTGTGTCTCATTTAGAAGGCTGCGCCCTCCGGAGGTCGAATCCTCTGGAGGTCGCATCCTCTGTAGGATGCATATAGGAAGTGTCCTCAACCAAGATTTAAACGAGACGGCCTTCGTAGGACAGGCGGAAAAGGAAACAGGAAGTATCACGTTGCTATGCCAACACATTTAGAGCATCGTTGCGCTCTCACACTACTTAAATGAAGGAAAATTATTTCTAAATTTGGAAAGTAATTTGAAAAAAAAAATGCTTTTACTTGTTTTATTTTGTTCAATGTTTGAGGAGCTGCAGCGTATGTACAGCAGACATCTGTTAGAGAACAATTTTTTATCCGTTTTTACCGAGGTGATTTAAGGTAAGTTGTAAACAGAACACCACATCTGCGCTTGTGTGTACATCTGCCGGCGCCGGCATTTTTCAAATTAACAACGGTTGTTTACGGCGACGCAAAGAATTGTGGGTTATCTGTAGCAGCGAAGGATACGCCTCATGCATCCTCCGAATTCCTGTGAAAGAAGGTCGCATTCGAAGAGTCCTACTTGCTTTTCTGAAATGAGACAGCCTCGATGACGTATGCAGCCTTCAAATGCGACCTCCGGAGGGCGCAGCCTTCTAAATGAGACACAGCCAGTGTCAGCATTATCTGTTAAAAGTTTATCTTGCATTATTGCGAAATTGTATGTGATTGGCCCTTTTGCACACAGCTGGATGTCCTTACATGCTCTCAGACTAACAGTTATTGATAATATAATGTCAGGCATGCTCACAGACAGCTTCACTAACATGATTGCTAAAGCCAAGAACTTTCAACTTAACTGTTAACAAAATGTAGTTTTTGTTCCTCATATAAAACAGGGCTGTAAAAAAAAAAGATTTTTTTTTTTAAATAGCTCTTATAGTTTTAAAGTTTTTGTAACTCTTTATTTCTTTTTACAGTTGTTCTTGATCGTTGCAGCTTGTGAGCTGGTTAACCATTTACATTTTATATTTAACTTAATAACTGAAAATGTGGGTGAGGTGAATGGGTCAAGCGTCACGGGGTAGTGTTTCCATCTTCATGAAGGATTTCATTCTGTTTAACTAGATATTTATGAAGAAAACTTGTTTGCAAATTAAGAAATCACTGTCACAGTTCTAGGGTGTTGTTGGTTGCAAATATATTTTATGACAAAACTTAATTTGTTTATTTGTTGCTTGCTTTACACTAATTTTTTGCACCAAAAGTTAATTTTAACAGTAGGAAAAGTAACTCGTCACACTGAAGTTTTCATACTGTATCTGTTTGTTTCGTTTTTTAATGCTTCACTTGCCAGCAGAAGAGACTAGCCAGGTTTAAATTCCACTGTTGCGTTATTACAATAAACTTGTATATTGTTTTATGATGCTCCATGCAGTTAGCAACATAATCCACATAAATCCCATTTTAAGTGTTTCTTTTTATGTTAGTGAGTTTGTTGTGTGTTAATCATCAAGCGCCAAAATTAATGGGTGCATGTAAACTTATCCTTTTTTTGGGTAATACTTTACCAAAATATTCCATTAGTTAACGTTAGTTAATGTATTAACCAACATTAACTAACAATGAGTGATGCATTTGTTACAGAATTTATTAAACTGTTTTAACATTAGTCCTAATAAGATATAACTACTGATTTTAATAATATTAAAATGTTGAAATTAACATTATCTTAGATTAATAAATGCTTTAGATGTTTTTTTATTGTTAGTTCATGTTAACTAGTGTAATTAACTAATATTAACAAATGGAACCTTATTGTAAATTGTTACCTTATTTTTTATATAAGACTAAGTTAATAAATAGCTTTTATTGATGTTATATTTTATTTTATTTTATTTGTCTTGTTTTATTAAGATTTGATAAGATCTGATGTTTGTCTGACAGATTTTAAGCTGTTATATTGTGATTTTACAGTGTGTAGATAACAAATACTTTGAACTCTTAAGTGCATTTAAATTGTCAGCGTCTCCTCTTTGTGTGCAGAAAGCCAGCGGTGAGAGTCACAGGTCTCATCATGCAGCAGTTAGTCGACATTCTGAAATGGTTTGGAGTTGAGGCGAGTGGATGGTCTGTGTCTGTGTGCCTTTTTCTGCTGTTCCTCAGCCTCCTTTACTGGTGAGTAAAACAATTTCATCATGAGGTTTCCAAACGCAAAACACATACACTGTTATTTACAGATTGCAATGGCAGATTTTTCATGACCGATATTTCTAATGGCATTCTGGGAAGTTAGTAGCACTGTGAGATCCAAACAGCTCAGGCTTGTTTTCCTCAGGAGAAGGACGGCGCGATCTGATCAAATTCCAATCACACGTGTCTCCGCACTTATCTTTTAAATGTCTTCCCGTTCAGATTCCGGTCCCTTTTTACAGTTACGTGAAGGAAAGGCTGAAGGTAATTCATAGATTCCTTGGCCACAAGGCTTAGGAATATAACTGTAGCAATAGTATAGACAGGAGTAAAATCCTTAAGAGCTGATATAAATCTTGCAAGGTCAAGCTATAAAACATATCTAGATGTAAAATATGTACTAAAAAATAAAAATATAAGTGAACTGAATTAAATAAATAGTTCACCCAAAAATGAAAAATTGCTGAACATTTACTCACCCTCAGAGAAATTTAGCATTACATCACTTGCTCACCAATGGAGCGAATGGTTGCTGTCAGAATGAGAGTCTAGACAGTAGATAAAAACATCATAATAATCCAAAACACAACTTCAGTCCATCAATTAACATCTTGTGAAACAAAAAGCTGTGTTTATAATCAACAAATCCATCATTAAGACCTATTTAAAGGCACAATATGTAAGATTGTTTTATTCAAATATCCAAAAACCACTAGAACAGTGTTGTATATTTTGCTGACTTGTGTACTTACACTATCCCAAATGTTTCGAAGAATGTTTGAATCCAGAGAAATAAGCAATTTTAACTATTGATACGTACGGTTTCCATAGTGTCATTGAGTCGCCTGCCAATGACGTCATAACCCCTCGATTTCCGGTTTTGAAAATATGGAAACACCAAAGACGCTTTAATATGTTGTGCGTTTTAATGGACCGGTGACGACCGCACAGAGTAGCATTATAACAGAACTTTCAAATGTATCTAGTATGATAAAACAGCGCTGCTTTTTTTTCCCCACACATACGCACGACCGGAAGGAGCGGAAGCAGTCGACCGTGGCATAATAAAAGCTCCGCTGCTTTCGAGCCGTGTGTCACGCTCGTTCAGCGGCCTCGTTTCGCTTCGACGGCTTTCAGCCTCACCCTGCTTCATTCTACTACATTAATAAATCATTATTCGTGAACATGATTTCTGCCCGAGTCCCGTCGGATTGCATCAGCTGTGGGGATGAAGACCACAACTCCCATGATTCCACACTCAGTCACAGAGTCATCAAACTACGCCTTTGTCTCTTTTGTTTATTTTGAATACGCGCCCTCTGCGGCGAAAATCATTCTACTACATTAATAAATCATTATTCGTGAACATGATTTCTGCCCGAGTCCCGTCGGATTGCATCAGCTGTGGGGATGAAGACCACAACTCCCATGATTCCACACTCAGTCACAGAGTCATCAAACTACGCCTTTGTCTCTTTTGTTTATTTTGAATACGCGCCCTCTAGTGGCGAAAATTACATATTGTGCCTTTAACTTTAGATGAGTCCTCTATCCATAATATTGCTTTGTCTTTCTCGCAAATATTTATTCATTTATTTGGACTATCTTCAATAGTCATATTGAAATCATGGGGGGAAATGTCAAAGAGTGTGGGGACCTTGTAATTTGAACAAGCAACAAGAATAAATGTTTTACTCAGATGCTTGAAGGTTTAGTTACAGTTTCCATATTTTAAATCTGGCAAAACAGAGCTGTTTTCTGTTTTTCTTTGAGAATTGATCACTACATCAGTGTTCTCTGAACTTATAACAAAGGGTTGCCTTTGCAAAGTCTAAAGGTGATTTTAAAATGTACTCAATATGCATTGTGACAGAGTGTCCCGTTTTTATTGGTTCCCGACTAAATTTGTCCTTTTATTGTAGGACATTGACAAATGTGTGGAACTTTATCAAGAAAAAAAAAAAAACTGTATCCAGTCACTAGTAGTATAATGCATGTTTTTTTCCTGTAGCATTCAGCAGCATTTTATAGAGAGTGACATGATTCTATAAGACAGAAGTGGCCTCAGAAACAACACAGTGACTTTAAACAAAAGTGCTCAGCATTGAAATAAAGGATTAGTTAAACACTGCTCTTATAATGCAGTGCAGAAGCTGATTAGAGTTGCAGGTCTCTGTTAAGGATAGATTTAGTTTTCCGTATCAGAACTTTATTACAGCGTTGGAATCAGTGTATTTAATTACAGCCATTTTTACAAGGCTTAGTCACACCCTTCCTTCTGAAACATTTATATTGTCACCTTTAACAGAGAAGGAGCACTGAAAAAAGACCTTCTCATGTTGTCCATAGCAACCAGAGTGCTCTGGACAACAGCTTGCTGGTTAATTAAGGTTTAAGAAGAACTTAAGCCAGTCTAAAAAGATAAGTGTCTTAAATGCTAAGGTATTCTTATTCTTTTACATCCATTGTGAAGCTTACATAATGGGGATCCCACTGAAGCATCACTGCTTTGTTTAGTGGCACCATGACCCGTGGCATCATATATTGCATTACTATTCAAACCCTTGGGGATTTTTTTTTTAAAAACCTGCAGCTGTGGTTAGTTTCATTTAAAGTAAAATACTTCAAGTGGAGTAATTTTTTTACAAGGTTATCTAACAATTCAATTATAGGTTATATAAGGTTTTTTATGAAATTCAAATTATTGCAGAATATGTATCAGTGGAATATTGCTTTCCACTGATACATAGTGGAAATGCATTGCTTTTTGTATTTTGACATTGACATTCAATCTGCTATATTAAAATGAAATTTTTAATTTTATTAAATATTTATATTTTATTACATATTTTATATCTCTAACTACACACACACACACACACACACACACACACACATATATATATATATGTGTGTGTGTGTGTGTGTGTGTGTGTATACTGTATATATTCCTTTTATTAATACATTATATTATATTATTATTATTATTAATATTACTATTTCCCAAATAATAAATATTTTAAAATAATCATTGTTAATATTTTGGTAACAGCTTTGCAAACCTTATAGAAAATGACTAGAAAATAAAATGGATCGTAATATTTAATCTGACCTCTTGATTTTGGTGGTCAAAAATTTCTGACGATTAAGCACATTTTTCCACTGTGTATTTGTTTACAAAGAAACATAATAATAGAACAATTATTAGGCTATTTGTTGCAGCCTAGCTGAAAGTGGCATATCATTTTCTAAGAAATTTAAATGATTCAAGAATATGCTAGACATATTAAAGAGATTTAATAGACATACGAAAGAATCCAATAGTGATCAACTGCTTTTTCCCTTCATGGGGTACCTGTTATTTAACTTTTAGCAGTCTTACACACACACACACACACACACATTTTTGTTTCAGAACAAGTAAATTCCTGTCTGTCTGTCTGGCAAAGACACGACTGTCATTCACAGTGGACTTAAAGAGGTTAGTTATGTAAGGGCTCACTCATTCTGTCACAGTGCAAATGGAGATTTATATCAGGGGATGAAACCTTTCTGCACAGGGCTGCTATGACAAAAGGTTTAAAAAAAATCAGGATTTCGAGGAGGGTACATCAATAAGCATTTTGGGGTGGTCCCAAGGCTGAAATAAGCCATATTAGAGGATTAGTCCCTGATTTGAGACTTGACTGCACTGTTAAATATAAGCCTTGTTTCCTTGAGACGCTGCTTGTCAAACACACAAACTTAAAATACAAAAGACGCAGTGTTACGGAACAAAACTTTCTAATCAGTAGAGGAGCCAAGTCTTTCCTCTGAGGTCATCCATGTGTAAATAAGAACACTATTTATTTGCGTCAAACTTGCAATTGATATGGTAAATTTGCTGCAATGCAGCTAAATATGGCTAAATGTGCTTGGCAAAGCACTATATATTTGCAAAGGAACCTAGATTTTTTTTTTGCACCCTCAGATTCCAGATTTTCAAATAGTTGTATCTCGGCCAAATATTGTCCTATCCTAACAAACCATATATCAATGGAAAGCTTATTTATTCAGCTTTCATATGATGTATAAATCACAAAATGGACCCTTATGACTGGTTTTGTAGTCCAGGGGCACATATATATATAATTTTATTTTATTAAGAGTCCAGCTCTTTAATTTCATTTAATAGTGGACATCCTAAAATATAATTAGGTGTAGTTTGACGTCTCACTTCTCCTTTCTTATAAAGGACAACTTAAGTAAAAAGTGACACAGCTTACCCCGCTCTTATGCACTCATTCCTATTGATCTTCTTCTATTGTTCCGGTCTTCATTAGATTCAAAATGTGTCTCCTTCCTCATAAACAATGTAAATTCCCCCTTCTGTGAAACCCGAGAAGTTTGTTTTTTCGTCTCTTATTGAAAACTTGCTAATCCCTCTCACTTAACACACTGTGAATATAGGGGCCTTGTGACCATGACCGAATCTCTCCACTGGCAAGGCTGAGTGGAGAAGATGACATATTCTAATAGATCCTCTCATAAAATTTAAGAGACAGAGTCGAGTGCGAACCCATCTGTCACCCTTTGGGCTACATAAACAACGGGCACAACTTCAAAAAGGTCACGCACTTGCAGTAGATGTGTGACATCTGCTGTGATATCATATGGACTCCTTCTCTGCTTCACTTTATGTCTCTTCCATAAGAAGAGCTCTTTTGGATTCTTTGCAGGAGTCTATTAAAACTCTTAATCCTCATGCATGACGTTATTAAAGTATTTAAACACATGCAGACAGCCTGAGATGTTAGGTTGGGATTCACATAGAATTAAAAATCACCCCATGTGATCTGTATTTAATTTGAGAGCCTAGCTATGGTATTGTGGTTACAGTTTGGGCTGGTAACTGAAAGGTTGCTGGTTTTATTCCCACAAGAATGAAGCAATCACCATTGTGCCCTTGAGGAAGACACTCAAACCCAGATGGTCCAAGGAGATTGTCCCTACAAAAACATCATGGTGCTGTTCAGTGGTGATATTGAGTGAAAATCATGTAAATGTTTTCCACTGACCCTGGTGTGGCACTTTTCTGGAGATTCTGTTCTAGATTTATAAAACAAAGAGTTCTGGTTCTGCTTGCTGATTGGACAATACAAGGTTCAGTGTCAGGGACTATATCTTGTTGAAGAGGGATACTAAAAGGAATAGTTCACCCAAAAATCTAAATTTACTTACCCTCAGTCCATCCAAGATGTGGATGACTTTGTTTCTTCATCAGAACAGATTTGGATAAATTTAGCATTACATCACTTGCTCAACAATGGATCCTCTGCAGTGATGGTAAATTTGCTGCAATGCAGCTAAATATGGCTAAATGTGCTTGGCAAAGCACTATATATTTGCAAAGGAACCTCCTGAACTACTCCAGCACATCTCGTTTTCCTTTAGACAAAGAATTGATCTTCAGTGCGAAAGGGTAGAGCTTATATAAGAGGCCAGCTTGGACCAGTAGATTGAAGGGTTTTACAATGACAGGGCCTTCAGAGTGTTTGCAATTGCCAGAATGTGAGGAAAGCATGATTATCAGTGAGCTGAACTTCTTCTGAACTCTGTCCCCTTCTGCCTCATTACGCATAAAGGCATGATGAGAAGGGACTGGAGACAGCCAAAGCGTCACCTATCGGCAAATGAAGCTGTTAGGTTCAGTCCTCTGCGATTCGGTGTTACTTGCTAGACTTTGACATTGCAAAAAAGGTTATTTGGGTAGCTTGACAACATGAGCAGCTGAACGTCTGTTGTTGTGTAAATTGGAAGATAATCATATCTAAATTTGGCCAGTTTATTCTAATGCCCAGTTTAGTGGCCTGTGTGGGAACGCTGAGAAAGCAGCTTGTACTTGCATTGTACTTGCATTGTAAAACTTGTGTAGTGAAAAATATTTGAGTTACATACTTGCATATAGGTATGGGTCTTTTTTCAGGCTTATCCTGTATCTGATTTTATAGAAGCCTTCATGCAAGATATATATGCACAATATATCAGTACCATATTGGTTATCTGCTTAAATCACTTTTTTATGCTGTACATTATATTTTGTGATGCCTAAATTCACATGTTTGGTTTTTAATGTTTTACTTTTAAATTTATTTAAACAAACTATTATAGAATTTCAATTACACTGAAAAAAATGATTCATTGAATGTATCAAAAAAAAATTTGAAGGTAAGTGGTTGCAATCAATTTATTTTAGCTACATTTAAATAAACAAATTTAGTTGACTAACTTTCAACATTTTTTTTAATTAAATGTAGCTAAAATAAATTGTTTGCAACCACTTACATTTAAAAAAAAATTATAATTATTTTCAGTGTACTGGCTAAAACATGCAACAGAATTCTCTCTCATTGTTATTGGCCAGAATTGTAATATTAGTAAATCTATTGTGAGTTCATAAAAACCTCTGAAAACTGTGAAGAGTGGGGTAAGATGTATGCTATTATAATGCATTGAATATTATTACAAATGCTATTATGAAATGTTAAATGTTAAACATTTTATTAAAAAAAAACAAAAAATTAAACAATTAAATATTTTATATATATATATATATATATGTATGTGCTTGCTGATTGGACAATACAAGGTTCAGTGTCAGGGACTATATCTTGTTGAAGAGGGATACTAAAAGGAATAGTTCACCCAAAAATCTAAATTTACTTACCCTCAGTCCATCCAAGATGTGGATGACTTTGTTTCTTCATCAGAACAGATTTGGATAAATTTAGCATTACATCACTTGCTCAACAATGGATCCTCTGCAGTGAATGGGTGCCGTCATAATGAGAGTCCAAGCAGCTGATAAAAATATCACAATAATCCACATGACTCCAGTGCATCAACTTAAATCTTGTGATGTGAAAAGCTGCCCCGTTGCTTCCAGGACAAGAGGGGATGGACTTTTTCAGTGGAGGAAGCTTTATTATAAATTATGGACATGTAATTTGGCCAGATGCGTGGTTTAAGGTTAAAATGCCTTAATGATGGATTTGTTTACTATAAACACACTTCTTTTTACTTCTTTTTACTACATTCTGACGGCACCCATTCACTGCAGAGGATCCATTTTCAGCAAATTTTCATTTTTGGGTGAACTATTCCTTTATACCTATTGGAACTTAGTTAGGTTTCCACTACATAGTTGACTCTTGGTAGTAGGACACAAAAGAAAATATGCTACAAAAGTCTACGGAGTCCAAATTAGGGCTGCACGATTAATCGAATGCGATTATGCGCATTTTGTTAGTAAAGCCGGTTCTGTAATCAGCAGGAAATCATCATCACGTGCTTTCAGATGGAGCAGAATTTACTACACATAGCCTTAGTTCCCTGACAAGTTACGCAAAAAAATTGCAGACGATTTTATGAAAATCAAAGAAATCGTTCGCGATTATGAAAGCTGTTTGCATAGCTTCTCAGTGAACTACGGCTCTGTGAAGTAAATGCTGCTCCATCTGAAAGCATGTGAAAATACCACATTTAATAACATATTTTTACTCCAAACTCACTTCATAACGTCAGTCGAGTGTTTGAAATAAATCCTTCTGTGAGATGATGTGGCTTCTTACACAGAATAAGGCACGCAACATATTTCATAGTATTTAAGCAGTGATAAAGGCATTGCATTATAAATATACTTTATTTTAATGAAAATTATAATAATAAGAACTCAGACAAACCATATATTGCCGTAGTCGTGTGTTTATTAGTCACGTTATTAGTCACTTCTCCGAGGCGTATTTGGAGTTTCAGCGCGAGAGCGCCCTCTGGCCTTTGGATGGAGATTTACTGCTGATCACAGAACCGTGCTTCACTGAAAGATACGCATGACAATCGCAGCTTCTGTCGAATCGCAATCTCGATTCCATTTCGATTTATCGTGCAGCCCTAGTCCAAATATTTCATTATTTCTACTATTTATTGTTTTGAGTTCAATATGGCACTCAAAGCCGTCTTATATTGTGAATATATTCACAGATGAAGGAGCTGCATGTCAAGGCCTCACAACAGCCTTTTAGCCATTTACTCATAATGTAGCACAGCCTCTTCTACTTTATTGCTTCAGTAGAGCGCATTTAAGAGCATTTGGTGCTCCGTGTGTGTTTGCTTGGACTAAAATTCCTCATCCATAACTGCTAGTTTCTTTCTTTACCCTCACTGTAGTGAATTCCCACAGTGCTGCTAGATTGTCTGCTCCCTCTGGGTCCTCAGTAGCCCAATCTAAGTGACTATCTTTGCCCTCCAACGTGAAAGTAGAGACTGCGCGCCGACCATTCAATGCTGATTGCATCAAGCTGTGGACAGCTGACTTGGCAGCAAGGCACTTGCACACACTGTTTGACTTTCTTTGTCATTGGCCAGCCTGTGAAATAGTTATTGTTTAATTGAGGGCCGTTGGACAGCTCATCCATCACAGATGTTAATCATATCAAACGTTCGCACCTCCCTGAGAAGCTGCTACGCTCCTCCGTTTCCACGGTGACGGGCACCTAATAAATCGAAATATGGTAATCTACTCTAATTTCACCCAGATCCACCCTACGCTGTAAATGAGCTCGCCGCCGCTCGCCTTGCAAGACCACCACGAAGATAGGCCAGCTAATATGGAAATGGAATACCCTAGCACACACCATTAAAGTCTGTAACCAAATTGTCTTGACACCTCATGCTGCAGATGTGCGGAGAGAGAGTTATACGTAGATTAAATCTCAAATTCCACAATTGTTATTCAATTATGAAGTGACGAAAGTCAGCAGTCGCTTTCATCAGGCTCTTGGTGTAGTTTGCGGCATCGCTGCTTTGCCATAAAGCACCAAGAAAGTGACTGACAAGCCCTCCTGCAGCTTGCATTAATTCACTGTCGTTATATGATATAATTTCTCATTAGATCATCTTTCTGTAATTCGTAAAATTTCTTTTTTTCTGCCTGTGGCATCTTGTTGGATTAATGAAGTACAAGTGGAGTCTTGAAGACAACCTTGATAAGAGCTAGAAGCCAGTCTTTCTCTGGTCATTAGATTTAAATTATGTTTAAAGTGTAAAATGCTACCATAAAATAGTAATTCATATAAAAAAATTTAATTATGCATTGTCATATTGTTCCAAACCTGTATTACTTTCTTGTGCAGAACACAAACGGAAAGCTTCTGATGAGTTGTAACGGTCACAGTTTTCTATGCATTTACAATGAATGGAGATTGAAGCTTTCAAGCATCAAAAAGGATGCAAACAAAGCACCATAAAGTATTATAAACATGGTCGAAATGACTTGTGTGCTAAATATATATTTTTTGAAGTCATATGATAGTTGAAGAAAACAGACCAAAATAAGAGTAATTATTGACCTCCAGCTGTTAATAAGTTGTGTGAACCAGATCAAATCATGAATTAATAATTCGGACAAGAGATTCATTTAAAACAGGGGGTCACCAGGCTCAGTTCTGGAGGGCCGTTGTCCTGCAGAGTTTAGCTCCAAACCTAATCAAACACACCTGAACCAGCTAATCAAGGTCTTACTAGGTATGCCTGAAAATTCCAGGCAGGTGTGTTGAGCCAAGTTTGGAGCTAAACTCTGCAGGACACCGGCCCTCCAGGATCAAGTTTGGTGACCCCTGATTTAAAAGATCAGAGTCCAAAGAAAACAAATGGAATATTTCTCATGAACTCAAGGTGACTTACAGCCAATTTCAAAAATTTCACCAAATAATGACATGAAATTCACTTTGATCCTGGACAGAGCTGTCATATGGCTTTAGAAGACTTGGAATATTAGACTTAAATTATTTTTAAAGTGTGAAATGCTCCCACAGACTTGTACTTGAAGAATTGTACTGAAGCTTACAAGCTTTGAAAGTGATGTAAAAGCACCATATAGTATGATAACTTACACAACTTGTACATGTGCTATATTTTATATCTTCCGAAGCCATATGATAGCTTTGTGAGACAAAAACAGACCAAAACTTTAGTTGTTTAGACGGCTGTTAATTGTGGAGGGCCATTTTCGCCACTGAATAAAAAAATAAATAAAAATAAAAAAGGTAACTGCGACTTTTTCATCTCACAATTCTGACATTTTTTCTTGCAATTGCGAGTTTGCATCTCGCAATTCTTTTTCTCAGAATTGCGTGATACAAACTGCCAATTCGTACTTTTTCTCAGAATTGCGTGATATAAACTCGCAAATGCGAGTTATAAAGTCAGAATTGCGAGAAAAAAGTAAGAATTGCGGGATATAAACTCATAATTGTGTGAAATAAAATCCTTTTCTGAGGGGAGGGGGGGAACAATAATTTTTAAGAGTTTAAGAGTTTAAATTTCACAATTCTGACTTGATTCGCAATTCTAACTTTTTTCCTCAGAATTGGGAGTTTATTTCTTGCAATTCTGACTTTATAACTTGCAATTGCGAGTTTGTATCATGCGATTCTGAGAAAAAAAGTCAGAATTACAAGATGTGAATTCGCAAATTGCGAGAAAAAAAAAGTCAGAATTGCGAGATAATTACCAGTTACCCTTTTTATTTTTTATTCAGTGGCAGAAATGGGCTTCCAATTGTTAATCAATCGGATCTATAACTTGGGAACTGGATCAAATCAAGACTGAATCATTCTGGCAATAGAATTGTTGAAAAGATTTGAGTGAATAATGACTTAAAATTCAGTCTGTTCCTCACACAAAGCTATTGTATGGCTTCAGAAGGTTTGAAATATAGAGCATGACCACTTTTATTGTGTCTATGTCCTTTTTGAAGATCATTCTTAAAGCCTCACTTCCTTTCTATAGTAATTCCAGGAATCAGTACATTATTCAAACTGTCTCCACAGCAGAAAGAAATATGGGTTTAGAACAACAAGGGTGAGTAAATAATGACGCTGTCAACTAATGTTCCAAAAATGATAAGTAATGTTCTAAAAATGATCAATAATGACAGAATTTTTGGACAGACTGTTCTTTTAAGCCACTGTCGTTTTACATCACGTCTGAGTTTCAGATCGATACAGACTCTCTCAGCCATCTTTAACAAGTCAGTGTGGCGAGACATGCCGTAGTCCCTGCTGAGGGCTGGAAATAGCACCATGTTTTGTGTGGAAAGGCTCGGAAGAATGGGATTGGGTCCTGGGGAGGTGTTATGGAACCGGAGGGATTCACATGACTAATGTCGACGAGAGAGAGATGTCACAGCAGGCCCGTTCACACGTCTATTTTAGCGCCATTTTTCAGTCTATTTTTGGTTATTGTTGTCTCACAGCTGGCTACACATGTGCACCTGCACACACAATGCACTTCAGCAGTAAGGAGGTGACAGGGCAAGATATACTTCTTTTCAAACTGCCTTCTCTCTCTTGGTTTATTCCTTTTTTCCTTTCTCTTCATTTTAAAGAAGCGCACTGATGAATGGTTGACGATGGTTGAGCACTGAAATGACACGTGAACTCCTTCCTCTGTAGCCTGACACGGACTGAAGCTATAATGAGGGGAAAGTGTTTGTGTGTTTAATAAAGGCTGGTATGCTGAATTGTTAGTGCATGTCGCCTAGTGATGAGAGGAATTAGAAGTCATTCAAAAAACCCTCTGAACTCAGTGAGGGGCTTTTAACATGCAGCCATTAGTTTGCATAGCGTGACGACGCGGGTCGGTAAACAAGAATATCTTACATCAACTGTGTAGGTTGGTTATCTCAGCTACATGGCGGCACTCAACAATCCCTCTGGGTACAGTAACAGCACATGACTTTGTTAAAATAGATGTCTACATGAATGCATCTCTGTGCACAAATCAAATGTAAATACGTCATGCGGTAAATGTTCAATAATAGCTATTTACTAACTGACACAAAAGCTGCACGGAATTCGTTCGATGATCTACATCAATAGCTAGAGAAGAGTATCCATTTGAAAGAGGTTTATAGACCCAAATTAGTGTGTGTGCAGTAATGCCTAGAGTATAGCACTTAACAAATGATAAAGTACTTTGCCTAATTTGTTTATTTTCGTCTTCTGTTTGGAACTCAAATCAAAGGATACACTCTAAAAAATGCTGGGTTAAATACAACCCAGTGCTGGGTAAAATAGAGACAAACCCAGCAATTGGGTTGTTTTGACCCAGCGGTTGGGTTACTACCCAGAAGGTTGGGTTAAACATTTAACCCAACCGCTGGGTCAAAACAACCCAATTGCTGGGTTTGTCCCTATTTTACCCAGCACTGGGTTGTATTTAACCCAGCATTTTTTAGAGTGTAAGATTATTTATAACAAATCAAAAATTTATCTTTTATTGATCGATTTTGAAGAAAAAATGATTAAAAAACTGCTGAGAAGATAATAATAAATCTATGATATAATGATTTATTTTTTGTTTTGTTTTTCATAGAATGCATTGAAAGAAATGATAGACTTATTACATTTTTTTTAGATATTTAAATTATTTTAACAGGACCGAATTACCTTGAATTTTCAGCATCATTACTCCAGGAATCAGTGTCACATGATCCTTCAGAAACCATTCTAATATGCTAATTTGCTGCTCATGGAATATTTATTATTATTATTAATGTTAAAAATTGTTGTGCTGCTTAATATTTTTTGTAGAAACTGTGAAACATTTTATTCAGGATTCTTGTATAGAAAGTTCAAAGGAAAAGCATTTGTTTGAAATAGAATTTTTTTGAGAGTTTATAAGCCTTTACTGTTGCTTTTATTCATCAAGGATGCATTAAATTGATCAAAAGTATAATAATAATTATACTGACCCTAAACATTTCAGCGTGTAGTGTATATCATCTACCTCTACTGTATGTATGAAAATACAGGTCGATTTTCATTGTGTGATCCTCTGAGTCCTGTGTGCGATTGATTATGTGACAGAAGAGAATATTTGAAATGCGTAGCAGTGAGCCTGTGTCAAACTGGACGCCCCTGTATGAGCCCCTCTGTGCATGAATGACACAATCTCATTTGTGTTCCTTACTGAGATTAAGAGGGTTTCAGGCTGAGACCTTGTCAATCCTTTGTGTCTGATTTCAGATACTGGCCTTGGTATTTGGTTTGAGACGATAATGAGGAATCTATGTTTCATGTTAATTAGGATTGCCACAGTACCAGTAATTGATATGAGAGGTTAAGCAAAATTCTGAATCAAAGAACTGGCTCCCTTTTAATTCATAAATTGGATTTTGAATTTAATTGGCTACACCTGACAAGTAGAGTTGGAATGACAGAAAGAGGGATTCTAAGAAATTGAACGCAGTTCATTCACTTTTGGAAATGAAGTATTCCTCCAACACAAAGTACTAGTTTTAGTAAATGCTATTACCAACCCATTGTTATGTCATACCTCTGTATAATTATAGCCTATAAATCTATAAATGAAACTTTGAAACAAGTCTTTGTCAAGCCAACATTCAAAGTTTGCCTTTGGCTTTTCCAGCTAAAATTACAGTTTTTCAGAATTCAGTCCATGTTAATTCTGCATCTGCATAATATTTGCTTCCTAAATTCAAATTCAGGAACTGAATTGAAATTTAAAGGGCAGTCTTAATTCAGTTCTGGATCACAACTCTAGTAGATACCAATACCAGTGAAAAGAATCAATGACATTTAAAAATGAATCATTATACACATAGTAAAATTGTCCTTTGATGCTATCAGCAAGCCTTTTGTTCAAATTGGCTCAGGTTACTTGTGTTCAGAGGTACAGTATCTGTACTAATCAGCTTCCAGAAGAGATCAGATGTGCTAAAACATTAGTCACATTTAAATGCAGACTCAAAACTCATCGGTTTAGCTGTGCATTTATTGAATGAGCACTGTGAAATGTCCGAACTGATTGCACTATATTTTATGTACTGTATAATCATTTTCTGTTCTTAACTGTTTTAAATTCATTTTAAACCTCTTAAATCAATTTTTAAATCATTTTCAAAGTTTTTAAATTCCTTGTTTTATTGTTGTGATTATTTGTTTTATTATCATTTTCTTTTCTTTTATGTAAAGCACTTTGAATTACCATTGTGTATGAAATGTGCTATATAAATAAACTTGCCTTGCCTTGCCTAAGAAACATGATCTCAACTCTGCATTGTTTAAAATGCACATAGTGGACAAATAAACACTGAATTTGCTTTTAAATCATGTGCTTGTGTACTGTGTGGTTTAAACTCATTTGGCTCTCCGTCCTGTGTTTGTTGTTGCTGTGTGTCGCTAGTCTTGCCGTCGCAGATTGTTTGGTGTTGTGCTGGACCGTAGCGCCTCCTCTTCCACAGCTGATCAATCGCAGCAGCTCTCTGCTCTCAGAGATAAATGTGCAGCCTGAGCTCACTACCGCGGCGTGACCGCCAAGCGTCTGATCCAGGTCTGGGTGCTGCACAAAACTCCACAGGGGAGCTCGTCCTCTGCCCACCAGCAGACCGCTTAAGCAGTTCTGGGCATCGCTTTCCCCATGCACACACTCGCTCTGTAGCCCACCCAGGCCCACAGCACCATCAGCAGTCTATTGAGTGGAAAGCTGGCAAATCACGGTCCATGTGACTGCAGCTGCACACGTTAGTGTGCGCGTGAGAGCGACAGAAGGGAGCTGGCAATATTGTGGCCGTGATAAAACTCCTGTCCGATGGGCTAATCCTGCATGAATCAATGCGCTTTTATTGGTGCCCTTTTTTAATAGGCTCTTACAATAGAAAAGAAATCAAATGTGTCATGGATGATCAAGAGAGACACTAGTAGCAGCTCAGAGCAATTATAGCTTGCACTTTTATGCCCGGCAGGATCAATGTGAGTGCTTTAGGAGATGTTTGCTGATACTAAAAGTCCTTCTCTGAAACATTACAAACTGTCTGCTACATAAACTCTACGTTTTAGTAAACTGAGCTTGAAAAGTGTGTTAGTGTTGTGGGATGCTGTAATGTGGGAATATAGTGTAATTATGAGTGTTTGTGAATGCATATGATAAAGACAAGGAGAAAGTAGTCTGGTGTTATTATCAGCAAAAAATCTGCAGGTGATTCTGGCTGCAATACAAGTGTAATCGTAATATAAAATGTGCAAACATAGTTTATTTTGTTTTTATGGGTCTGTTTAAGGGAGTTTAACACTGGTTAATACAAAATGGGTTATATAGTGCTGTCATTCGACTAATAAATCATATTTTTCTGAAATGAATTAATCTTGGTTAATCGCACTTAACATTAGGATTTGTAATAATATTTTCACACTGAATCTGCAATTCACAACATAAAGATTGGAGATTTCTAATACCAATACTAATGCCTCTGTTAAAAGGATTTTTTAAATAAATTTCTGGGGATGAGTAATTATAACCATTCAACACTAGAGTAAAATATGTGCCATCATTTTTAACATTTAGTATTAATATTAACCACAGAATTTAATGCATTATTTTTTACAGCCCTAGTTATATCGTAATGATATATCAGTGCAGAACTCAAAAACTTGCAAAGCAATGTACAAAAAACCCAATAGAATCGGGAAAGGGCTTCCCCATTTTATTAGTATTTATAAATATTTTAGTTTTTAATATCTCGTTTATAGTGTGTATGCATCAGATGGTCAATGAAAAGACTGTAAGTTGTTACTTCACAAAAAAATTTTACAGTTTATTCACTGTTATTCGGAGATATGTTACACTTATTTAGCTTCTGTACTATTAAATCCACCATACAAAGACTGGAAAATTATTTTGTTTAAAGTCCCATCTGGAATTACTTTCTAAACTAATTTGCCGTTGGGTCTTTAGTTTCTCCATAATTGCCCCCAGAACTTGAAATACAAACAAACTCGGGTCCATCAAAGAAAGAGGAAGCTACTTGCTTAGTCTGTTTTTACTCATATTACACTGCAAAAAACATCTGCTAATAGGGTAAGAAAAATATACTTACTTGTTATTAAAAGCGAAAACAAGTTTGAATTTTTCTTACCGCATTTAAGCATAAACTCATTTAACTACAATGCATTTTTCAGAAAACACGACTATATCTCATGTCATTTTTCTTTTGAAGTCAATTTACAAATGTTATACTGGAAAACAAGACAAAATACTGACTAAGAAAAACATTTTTTGTAGCGTTTTGGTTTTAATATATTAAAGGGATAGTTCACCCAAAAATGAAAATTCTGTCATTAATTACTCACCCTCATGTCGTTCCAAACCCGTAAGACCTTCGTTCATCTTCTGAACAGCTCTCAGATTCCAGCAAAAATATCTTCATTTGTGTTCCGAAGATGAACGAAGGTCTTACGGTTTGAAACGACATGAGGGTGAGTAATTAATGACAGAATTTTCATTTTTGGGTGAACTAACCCTTTAATGCTAAATTATATTCGTTATAATATATTTGAGTGATGAAGTGGTACTTAATCTTTACCTGTGCGGTTGTGTGAGGTTAGGAAATATTGCATTCAAATGCTACCTACATATGCAGCTCACTAGTTTTTGGAACAGAGCCACAGTTTGCGCATCTTGATTCTTTACCAGAAAGGAAAAAAAATGCCTCTCTTCCCAGAATCTGGACAGCAACTTTTCAGTTTCTCACTCCTCTTTCACCTCACACTGTATCTGTCCTCCTTTATGGCACTTTTTGTCCTAATGAGAACACTGGCTGGCCTGTTCCTTCCAACCTCGCTGTGAAAAAAAACACAGTGAGTCTCTTGCTGTCAGCCAGACATGGTTGTCTCAATCTTTCCTTCCCTTCCTGCTCATTCACCC